TTTTGAAAGATCATAAAGAGGCCATGGGGTAGACAATAGCGGACATCAAGGGGATAAGTCCTAATGTATGCACTCACAAATCCTCATTGAGGATGATTGTAAGCCTAGGAGGGAAGATCGAAGATGATTAAATCCTCCTATGATGGAAGTTGTCAAGAAAGAGATAATTAAGCTCCTTGATGCGGACATGATTTACCCCATTTCCGACTCCAAATGGGTTAGTCCGGTTCAAGTGGTTCCCAAGAAAATGGGAATCACGGTTATTGAGAATAACAAATGAGTAATGGTACCCAATCGAGTTCAAAATGGATGGAGGGTGTGCATTGATTATCGAAAGTTGAATTCAAGCACACGAAAAGACCATTTTCCTCTTCCTTTCATCGACCAAATGCTCGAAAGATTGACGGGCAAATCACATTATTGTTGCCTCGATGGATACTTGGGTTTTCATCAAATATCTGTTGCCCCCGAAGATTAAGACAATACGACTTTTACATGCCCTTTCGGCATGTTTGCCTACAAGAGGATGTCATTTGGATTATGCAATGCCCCCGCCACATTCCAACGATACATGGTGAGCATCTTCTCTGAGTATGTTGAGAAAATAGTTGAAGTGTTCATGGATGACTTCACAGTGTATGGCAATTCGTTTGATGAATGCTTGGATAACCTTAAGAAGATATTGAAAAGGTGCATTGAGAAGAAGTTGGTGTTAAACTTTGAGAAATGCCACTTCATGGTCAATCAAGTCATCATCTTGGGACACATCGTCTCCAAAAAGGGAATTGAAGTTGATAAAGCCAAAATTGATGTCATACAAACCCTTCCTTACCTAACATGTGTTAGAGAAATGAGATCTTTCTTTGGCCATGCAGGATTCTATAGGAGATTTATCAAAGATTTCTCGAAGATCACGAGACCGATGTGCCTCCTTCTCCAAAAAGATGTTGACTTTGACTTCAATGTAGCATGTCAAGAGGCCTTTGACAAACTTAAAGACTTGCTTAGCTCCGCTCCAATAATCCAACCTCCAAATTGGGAGCTTCCTTTTGAAATTATGTGTAATGAAAGAAATTTTGCCATTGGAGCGGTTATAGGTCAAAAGGAGGGCAAAGCATCACATGTCATCTACTATGCCTCCAAAACCTTGGATAATGCTCAATCCAATTATTGCACCACCGAGAAGGAACTTCTAGCCATTTTCTTCGCTTTGGAGAAATTCCGGCAATACCTTCTCGGTGGATTCTTCTTTTATAGGAGTTCGATCTTGAGATAAAGAACAAAAGTGGTGCCGAAAACCTAGTTACGGATCATTTAAGTCGGTTGAATATTGGTGGTTCTTCTTCTTCCATTCTTGATGAATTTCCGAATGAATACCTCTTCTACATTTCAAACACCATTCCATGGTATGCGGATATTGTCAATTACTTGGTTACTAAAGAAATTCCACATGCATTTACCAAGTACCAAAAGGCCAAGTTGAAGAGTGATTCCAAATACTACGTGTGGGACGACCCTTATCTTTGGAAACATTATCCGGATCAACTAATACGACAGTGTGTTCATCAAAATGAGGTCAAATCAATCTTGAAGTTTTGCCATGAGTATGCATGCGGATGACATTTTGGTCAAAACAATACCATGCGAAAGGTGCTAGAATGTGGACTCTATTGGCCAACAATGTCAATAGATACCTATCTATTTTGCAAGAGTTGTGATAGATGTCAAAGAATGGGAACCGTGTCCATGAAAAACGAAATGATTCAAAGCCCTATCCTCATTTGTGAGATCATTTATGTATGAGGAATCGATTTCATGGGCCCATTCCCCGTCTCTTTTGGTGATACTTATATACTCTTGGCGGTTGACTACGTCTCAAAGTGGGTGGAAGCAAAGGCTACAAGGGATGATGATTCTAAAACTGTAATTGACTTCTTGAAGTCAAATATTTTTGCAAGATATGGTGTACCGAGAGCCTTGGTGAGTGATAGGGGCATTCATTTTTGCAACAAAATGATGGAAGCCATGATGAAGCGATATGGTGTCACACACCGAATATCAACCGCTTACCATCCACAAACAAATGGCCAAGCCGAAGTGTCAAATAGATAAGTCAAACAAATTCTTGAAAAGACGGTTAACACAACACGAAAAGATTGGAGCTTGAAGTTAGAAGATGCATTGTGGGCATATCGGACCGCCTATAAAACTCCAATTGGCATGTCTCCATTCCGCCTCGCCTATGGAAAGTCTTGTCATTTACCGGTGGAATTGGAACACAAGGCATATTGGGCGGTTAAACAGTGTAATTTCAATATTGAAGAAACCGGGAAGCACCGGAAGATGCAACTTCAAGGGATCGAAGAGTTGAGGAACGAGTCTTATGAAAATGCAAGCATCTACAAAAACAAGACAAAAGCGTTTCACGACAAGCACATCACTCGAAATCATTTTATTATGGGCAAAAAAGTTCTTCTTTATCATTCGTGCTTAAAGCTATTCCCGGGAAAATTGCGATCTCGATGGCACGAACCTTTTATTGTTATAAAAGTGTTTGATCACGGTGCGGTTGAAATTAAGAGTTTGGAAACGAATCAAATATTCAAAGTGAATGTGCACCGTTTGAAACCATTTTACGAAGGCTTTGCCACGGGAGAATCCGACAACGTAACATTGGAAACTCCGATTTACGAAGGTTGAAGGAAGCGGGGATATGTCTTGGCAAAGACGTTAAATAAATACATTGTAAATAAATAATCTCCGCTTGAAGTTTTGGTGTTTCTAAGCTTGAAGTTGGTAAAAAAAATAAGCATCTTGAAGTTTAGCATTGATCTTGGTAAAGTTTGCAAAAAGTGTCAAAAATCTGCAATTTGCGCGGGTACCCGCGCAAACGTTGCGCGGCCGACCCCCAGCTGCACAAATCCAAGTCCAACTTACCCCCACATGGAGCACAAACTGTTGTATGCGCGCGGGTGAGGGAGGTCCTTGCGCGACCTGATAACCGCCCTCGCAACCACTTGCGCGGCTTGCTTCCTACCCTCGCAGCTCTTGTGCGGCCAAGAACAAATTGCTAGTTCCTTTTGTGCGACCCACCCACCTATAACATCCACCCTTATTGCTCCAACCCAGACCCGTGACCACCCGATAATCCGATCCAGACTCGACCCAATCTTAAAACCCACCCTTATAACCCCTTAACCCGTCAGCTTCACCCTTCTACCCCTTGTGCCTCCCGTCAACAGCCCTACCCTTGTCACTCCCGACGAACTCAGTGCACACACCAATCGCTACTTCCGATACCGCCGACGACTTCCGACCAACCTCCAACGTCCGTCGTTGCCACCTGCCGACCTCTCTACCCCGCCTTCTCTCCAGCCGACGACCGTCGCCGGCAGCTCCAATTTGACCCCCCCTTCGTCGCCGGAAAAACACAACCAGCCACTACTATCGTCCTCCTTGCTGCTACCACCGACGCTTCCACTCCAACCTACTTCCCACCTAATTCTGACCACCCTCCACCCTTCTCCACCGGGAACAGCTAGCTCCGCCGCCGGCCACCGCCTGACGCCGCCGCCGGCCGCCGCCACAAATTTTGACCAAAATTTCAAAAATTTTGTTTCTCACCGGAGATTCAAAAGACTTAACCTTGCGGGTCCAAATCAACTTTGGGGTGCGGTTTTAGCGGTTTTCTTTTCGGGTTTCGACACTCGAATTTGGTACATTCCTTTTAATTTTATTGCATTCCATTTCTAATTTGGATAGAATTATCCTATGCATTAGATTGATTAGAATTGAATTGCTTTGAATTAATTGGATTACATTACCTTGAAATGTGCCAAATTGCAAGTTTGGAGTATTTGCCGGGTTTATATTTTTATTTTTGTGTGGATTGATTGGATTGGTGTGAGGATAGTGTGAGGGATAATTTTGGCCAAGTTTTTGTCTTTGCTAGGTTCTATTTACAGGTACAATGGGAAAGAACAAAACCATTCATGCGTCTCATGGTTCTTCCCGTGAAGGTCAATCATCGCTATCAACCAAAAAAGTGTCCAACGAGCATGTCGATCGTGATGGTAACCTTGTCCTCGCTAGTGCACAAATCAAGCAATTCAAGTCCAACCTCCAAAAACGTGCGATTCGAGCCACAAAATTTTACCACCGAGAGTCGATGATCCACATTGGACTTGACGATTGCTTGCAACAACTGTTCTTCAGCATAGGTTGGCAAGACTACCTAGCTCTTTCCGTACGCACATACAAGCAACCCACACTTGAGTTCCTCTCCACTTATGCACGGGATGACACGGAGGGGGTGCTCACATTTCGAATCCAGGGTCGGCAGCACCGACTCCCATACGACACCCTCAACACTATTATGGGCACATACGATAGCCACAACATCGACATCTATAGTTATCAATGAACTCAATTCAAGAGCCTGCCCAAAGTAGAGTTTTGGACTCAGATCACCAGTCTTCCAAACTTCAATCCAAGTCGACAAAAAGATCCTTACATCATCCATCCTTGTTGGAGAATCACCCACCGGATCCTTTCAACCTCCATCTTTGGTCGTCACGAGCCGAGACAAATAAACACAGTCGAACTATATTTCCATTGGTCTTGCCCCGGTTTCGCCACTTTTTTCTTGGATAAATGTGATAGCATACGCACAAAGACCACTGGCGATATTTGCATTGGAGGTCTCATTACCCTAATTGGTTTGGGTTTAGGCCTTCAATTTCCCGAGTTTGAGTATGTGCCAGTGGATGACTCACCTCTCTACCTCCTCGACTGCTTCGCTCTCACCCGGATGGAAATATTGCTACCTACCAGCAATAACCATTACTATTGGCTCAATCATGCCAAGGAGTCAGTTTACATATTTCCTAATACCAACATATCCGCCTTTACCACCAGCAACCCCGAAACTTGGTTCTTGCCTGAAGAGTTACATGATGATGATGCAGGAGATGATGATGACATGCAGGTAGACACTGGCAATGCTGATAGCCCCTTTAAGGTCGAAGACCATTATGACCTCCCAATCCGACAACTGTCGCCACCCTCAGCCTTCAGGAGTACACTTCGAGCCACAACATGAGTACCAGTCCTATCAACAACACAATGAGCCCGAAACCGAGTTTCCTCTTGATATATACAGTCATCTTGCTGCCTTGCGACTCCAGGGCAACCAGAATACAGCAGCCATTAGGCGCATCGAGGAGCAGCAAGCTCGCACCAACAACTACATGGAGGATCTTTGGCATCATTTTCAGCCCGAAGGCGGTTACCGTCCTCGTGGGCCTCCTCCACCTTGATCCCGGTACGATCCTTCCTTACTCTCGTCCTAAGCATTGAGGACAATGCTTACTTTTAAACTTGGGGTGAGGTATTCTTATTTTTTATTTTCTTTTATTGCATTTAGGTTGTATATAGTTGCATTTAGAGTAAGTCATTTAGGTCATTCATAAAAATTGCATAAAAATTCAAAAATATTGCATATTTTGTTTCTTTCTTTTCTAATTTTCATGCTTTTTAGATGCATTCTAGTTTAAGGTCATGCATTTATGTTCTCTCTTGTCCTCTTATCCTTACAAGTACCATAGCGCCGATTCATAAGCATTGAATCATAGATTGGTCTCGGGTCTTGATATGGAATTCCTTGTATTGGATAAATGGGACACGTTTTGAGCCTCACAGACCACTTTGAGACCGCTTGTATGGGGGTCAGATGTAGGTAGCTTGATTGGGTCTAGGTGCTGAGGGATGTGGTTGGTCAAACCGATGTGTGCGAGCAAAGATTAGCCCGGTAAGGTATTTTGAAGACATTGGAGACCCGCATCTTGGTTTTGGGGGGAGTACCCCTTAGTACTCCCGAGTCTCGTCTGAGCCTTACTCAGTTAGATTCTCACCACCTTTTTAAGATAAGTCATCATTTTTCTAGGGGTCTAGAGTAGATAGTTAGATATATTTTGTTCATCACACCTTACATTGAGGTGCTTGATGAACTTTGAAGTGGGTCCCCCAATTGACATCTTTTGGGACCAAGTTGTTTTCGGTAACACCCATTTTTGAGTCATTCCCCACCCTTTTTAGTAGATCTTGACACATAGTCAATGATCATTAGGTGTTCATGTTAGCCTCTATCTATTACTCCATTTTCACTATTGGAGTCCTATGTTACATGGTGAAATTCCTTAGACCTTCCAAGAAGAAAACACAAAGAAGAAAAATGAAGAAATTGGAAAAGTGAAGACAAAAAGAAACAATGAAGAAGATAAAGAAAATCAACAAAAACAAAGAAGAAAAATGAAGAAAAAGAGCAACACAAAAAGAAGAACAAGAATCCAAGTTCAAGACTTCTCTCCAAAAAAATAATAATAATAAGATAGAAGATCGAGCTACAAAGAGACTGAAAACCAAATATCAGAAGTTCAAGATTGAAGATTTAAGTTGTTAGGTTTAGATTTAGGTTAAGTAGAATTTTTATTATTTTATTTTATTTTTGATTTTTGGTGAGAAAAGGCTATGACGATGAGACGATAGACTGTAAAGGACAGTACAAGGGAGAAGCCTCTGAAACCGGATGTTTGCCCGGAGGCCGCACTGCAAAACCCTATTTCGTATTATACACTTAGCCTGACAAATGTAGGAATCATCGTGTGTGAAGAGGCGCCTTTCCTTCATGCATTACGATCTACATTGGTGATTTAAAGTGCCCCCACTGGGCGCATCCTCTGTTTCCTTTGTCTTGCACATCGCGACTACATCCAGCCGTGATCTATTCGCCCATCAAGTGGTTCGAGAATTTGGTTTATAGCTCTAAAGCGGGGAACATTTTGAAGATATGTAGGGTCCATGAAGGACTTATTCTGACCATGTTGACTGATGTTGACCAAGTTCTATGGTATCTTTCTTTTTTCCTTTTTAGTTTAGCTCATCCCGAGCTTATTTTATTTAGTCTTGTTCTAAGTTGAGGAAAAGTTATGTTTAAGCTTGGGGTGATTTGATAGCTTATTTTATTTCCTTATTTTTTTTAGTTTATTTTAGTATTTTTAGCTCTTTTAATTAGTATTGCATTGTATATTCTTTATTTTCTTTATCATGGATCGTGTCGGGTACTTTCTATTTTGCATGAGATATTTTGCAGGATTTTGGAGCTCATTGTGGTTGTAGTTTGACTGGAGTTGGGCTTAGTGGGCTTCTCGATGCATTATTAGAATTTACGGATCCATCAAAGGAGATTTGGGCTTAAAAAGTTGAAGATTTGGATGAAGTGGGCTTTTGAATATGGGTCATGGATTTTTATTTTGGGCATGGACTATCCATATTTTGAGCTTGAAGGTGATTGGCCAACTTCAAATCATGTGAATCATGGAGGGGACCAAGGGAATCTTGGATAGTGGAATGGGTAGTGGAGAAGAATTGGCCAATAGCATTCCAGCAACACTTACGAGGGTGGAATCTCAGTCGCGCGGGTACCCGCGCAACTGCACACTTTTTGGCATTTTGGTCATTTTGTTTACCATTTACCTTGGGGGTTGGATCTTTCAACAATAACTTCGATTCTCCACCATTAGAGAGTTGGGGAGGCGATTTTGGGAGCTTGGATACTCATTCTTCTCATCTTTCTAATTAATTGGTAGATTCTTGATGCAAAAACACTTTTGTGATTGTTATTTTGTTCCATAAGTGGCTAATTTCTCTATTTTGGTTAACTTTGGCTAAAACCCTTGGATGTTTGTGGGTTTCTGAAGGATTCATGCTTAATTGTCATTTATCTTATGTTTATGATTCTAGTTCATATTTCTTATGCTTGTTTAATACTTTAATCATGAGTTTTGTACTTGAATGAGCAATTATTTGTTTATTTCTTTGATTTAGCATTGAATCATTGAATTTACTTAGAACAATGGCTTTATGATGATAGAAATCATCTCTAGCTTATGAATCATGACTCCTTTATGGATGTGTAAGCATTGACATCCTCTAGGAATTGGGGATTCCTTCATTCTTAAGGCTAATCAACTTCTTGGGTTCAATTGCTTCAATTGGATCTTTGATTTTGATTAAGAAGGTGTGTTGTAGGCTTCCCCAACCTCCATACTACCTATGAGGAATCTTGGCATATCATGCTTCATGATTGCTATAACCAATTTGGGCTGGATGATAAGCTTCATGTTGAATCCTAATGATAAACACACAAATGTTCATTGTGTTGAATTGTCTTGGTTAACTAATTATCTCCAATATTTGAGCATCTCACTATCTTGCTTAATTGCAACCTTTTTATTTATTCAAGTCTTTTAGATTTCAATCAATCACAACACCCCCATTTTAGTTTAATTGTAGTTAGTTAGTTCATTTACACTAGTTCAACTGGATTGCATTGGTGATTGAATACAACCATTTCCCCAAGGATCGATACCCCCTTTTACCATTATATTACGTTTTATTTGCAAACAAAGGGTGTAATTTGCTTGGTGGACTTTACATCCCACCAATACGCCAAACGGATCCTACCTCCGATACGATCTTACCTGGTTGTTCCTTATCAGCTATACGTCAGTGTTCTTTTGAGATTATTGATAGATTTGGTAAAAACATTATAACAATTAAACTTTATAAATATGAACAAATATTAAGGCTTAGTAATATTTGTGTTTAGGTCGTTTTAAAGGGAAATCTGAAGTGTTAGTAAAAAATCTGACTTTCCCGCGAGTCTTCCACCTTTATCAGGTGAGTGCATAATTACTTTGATGAACACGATTTAATACAAATAATTATAAAAAAGGTATTAGTATCTTTCGAAAGTTTATATGTAAATTAAATGTTTATTGTCTGAAATATTTGTTAAATGTTTATTTGATAACAAGTATTGTGTGAACCAGAAATGGTTATATACGTGTTAAAGTGTTTATATGATATTATTACGGGATGATTTTAAAAATAAATATTATAACTTAAAAGTTTACTGTATGTTATATAAACTAAGTTAAGATAAGTGTTGTTTAAACAAAGTTAGTATTAAAGGTCGATTACAAGGATTGTAGTCTCTTCTTAGTTTAAAACTAAGAAGTATAATGAATATTTAGATCACGTTAAGTTGGATAAATGAATCATCGCATATTGTATTGCAGTAGTATGGTATAAACAGGATGCTTACTTCAAGTCGAATCGAAAGAGTGATTAAGAGACAACCTACAATAGTGTTCAGGACCATTAGGTCATTGCGCAGTAATAATGTTATGTATTAATTATGGCATCCTTAGAATTTTTTTATTTTGAAACAACATCTTTGCTCAAAGATATTTAATAAAACAAAACAGTTTCCGCAAAAATGTTTTAATATACTGAGATATTCCGCCAACAAAGATATTTTTAAAGCGTAAATAAAAAAAATTTTGGTTCTGAAAAATAAGGGACGCCACAGTTGGTATCAAAGTGTAACACCTGTTTCCCAAACTGGTTTAACTTATATTTACCGGGGGCTAAAAATGGAGTTTGGAGGAAAAACTATGTTCCACGACGTGGCATCGAGTAACTAACGCAAGTTTTATTGGACCGCCACGACGTGGCCAAGGGTTGCCACAATGTGGCAGCTGTTCTGGCCCAAGCCCACGATTCTTTTAGGGTTCCCTTCGTATTTAAACCCCTCTAAGTCATTTATGTGGTTCATTTCCCTCCTCCAACACCCTTTACCTCAGAGAAACCCTAGCCCTAAATCCCTTGGTGATTTGTGACCTTTTGGAGCATTTGTTAGCTTGGGGAAGAAGAGAAGAAGGAGAAGAAGATGATCTATTGGTGGATCTTGCAAGGAAACAACACCATCAACATCTTACATTGTTTCTGGACCTTTGTAAGTGTCAAAGGCTCAAACTTTATGGCTTGAAGTGGCTAGATGCTAGTTTGAAAGGAAGGAACACATAAAGTTGTCAACTCTATGACTCTTTTGAGTCCCATGAGCAACATACATTGTAGATCTAGACTTTGGTTGGGGTTCTTGACCTTGCATGAATTTTTGGGCATTTTTAGCTCATTTTGACCTAAAAGGATTCTAGACATGTATTGGACATGCATGTCTATAAAGCTTCCACCTTTATGATAGATATGGTATTAGAAACCCTTCTGGAGTGATTGGTTAATGAATTTTTCAGATTAAGGGCTTAATTGTTAAGACATTTTGGTTTTTGGCTTTATTTTGACCTAGGGTTGGAGATCTTGATCTCTTTGGGTGTCTTAATGGATAAAGTTGGAAACTTTATCCATTTAGACCATAGAATGGACCAGATCTGAGGTTTGGAGCTATTGAAATCGA